TTGCCAGATTGCAGGTCTTCTGCCATCAGAGTCCCAGGACATGACTCTTCTGGAGGCGCAGAGCTCCTGCCTTTCAATCTGGAGAAGCAGCAAACCTGTTCTGCCATCTCTGAGTCAAAATGACAGGGTTCTTTGACATTTTTGTTGGTACATCTTTTAAAAACCTGTTTTAAGACAAATTTAAATTAAGTAGGTTTTTGGCTGTGTGTTGCTACATGACCCCAGCACACTGTGAAGTCAGATGAGCCATCCTTTTGGAAGGGGACTGCTGGGCAGAGTGGCCCAGTCCTCACCAGACCTGCCAGCATCCCAGCCACATCAGTTATGGGACACAGCAGTGCATCCCCCCAGCCCTAGAGGAAGCTGAGCAGGACGGGTGGTAACTAGGACAGGTGCTGCTAAGACCTTCCACCTTGGTTGGTTGTTTGGGCTGGCTCTTCCTCTGCACCGAGCTCTGAGCACTCTCAGCAGCAGGCATTAGAAACAGTTAACTGAGCTCTGAGATTTGTGTGAAATAACTACAAAGGTCAGAGTAAAACACAATATACTTATCTCAACTCATCTGAAAATTACCCTCATCAACAGCATTGTTTATGCCTGATAGATAGCCTGAGCACCAATTATGGTTGTCATTTCCTGAGGTGCCATCCGGGGTAGATGTGCAGGGTGGAGATACAGAAGGAGGGAAGGGGCTCTGTGACCTGGGCTTGTGGCAGCAGCTCCCCAAGGAGCCAGGCAAGAGCCGCCTGCCCTGTGCTGTTAGGATCCTGTGCCAGCTCACCTTGGCATCCTCTATCTTTCTCCCTGTAACAATCTCAGAATTATATCACTTTTTTTTTGTTTTTTGTTTTTTTTTTTTTTTAGATCTGGTGCTGATGGTACTGTGTAGAACAAAAACACTGAGGCATTTCCTGCCCCAAGATGGCCACTCTCTGAAGCGCAGCCACTCAGGCAGGATATGGAGAGAAGGTTGGCTTATGTTGTGGTCCTTGTTTCCATTTGCTATCAGTCGCGTTCACAGAGTCAAATGGGTCATCCTCTCTCCCATCCTCTTCAGGGAAAAGCTGTGCACTGGGGAGATTGGCAGAAGATAAAAAAGAGAAGAAAATGTGGGAAGATAGTGGCTGGACTGATCATGGAGGATGTGATGCAAGAAATACAATAAAAGAAAAAAACAAATAAAAGGCAGAAATGAACCAATGGCAAAAGTGAGGATCTTGAAGGGATGATAGACAATGCTGGTTTGATATTTACATCTTTTCTGTGCCTGATAGTAATTTGTTCCTGGGAGGCTCTTTGTACCCTGTGCCCTGCTTGGGTACACATGCAGGAAACGGATCTAAACTTGTCCTAAAAATTCACAACTTACATTGACTATTTTAAGAATCCCAATGAGTAAAAGAGAGCAAATTCATCCCAGGATCCATCAGTGGCATAAAATGATAAGCTCTGGATAGTAGTGTCAGATAGTACAAGTGGAAAAAAAAAAACAGTTTGAGACAGACATCTGTATATCTAACACTATAGAACTACTTTCAAAAATGTGCTGTGGAAGGAACACATGGAAGAAGCTATGCCACTTTGCTAAAACGTGGTATTTAGAGATTACTTTGCCCAAAGGGGCAACTGCTTATATGCATGCGGCCCCATCAAGCAGAACCCCTGCACCCGCCCGTTGGGAATAGTGACACCTGTGCACGCGGGTGCTGACTTTTGCATACACAGAAGCTGCTTTTAGGGTGCATGAGTGCAAGCACTCCTCCCTGAACATCTGCAGGTGCGGCTGCATGCAAAGAGACAAAGGGAAGTTGAAAGGAGGTAGTAGTATGTGCCCTTCATCGTAAAAAGTCATGAGTCACACTTCAAAATACTGTAAGATTCCATGTTTTCAGGCTTTTCTCTGTAGCCAGGAAGGCCAGAGTTTCAAGGAAAGCAGGTAATAGCCTCCAGGGAAGAGGACTGTGGGCCCAGCAAAGCGTGGGAGCTGACAACCCTGAAACTTTACCCCAGAATGTCTCAAACCAGATGCAACTGAACTGCCCACAGCACAGATTTGGTGGCATGCTCTGTGTCACCACTGAAGTGTAAACCAGGAGACCCTCTTGCTGTCCTTGTAAGAATAGAGAGCGAAGCAAAAAGCTGTGTAGCTTCTGGCAACGCAACTCCCACGAGAATGGCAGCATCAACGCAGGGATGTCGCACATCAGCACGGCTTCCTTCGTACATGTATGTACAAAGCACAGCCTAAAAATGTGCGTGCAGGTTCTGCTTTGAGATAAGGCATGTCAAGGTCAAGCTAGATGCGTAAGGGTTAAACACCCATCTCACTGCAAAATGGGTAACAGTTGCATTTTATTTAACAGTTGTATCTAGTGTCATAAGAGAGTGTTTTTTTCTTAAGTAGAGATGTACAGAAATTATGTTGGATGGATTTTAGGACAGATTATAGAGCAAACCGAAACCAACTAAACCATGAGCACAAATCCATGCTGCTTTTCTTTCATGTAACTAACTAAGGGAGTTAAAAATCTTACCTACTTTATTTATTAAAAAAATAATACCAGGATTTACACGTGTATGGATTTCTCTGAAAAATTTTCATGGTCTTGAGAGCCACACAGTATTGCAGGGAAACTTACTACTGAAAAGCAAATAGAGACATCTAAAAAAGAAAGATGAGTAAGAAGAGGACCTAGTCTATAATTTAATTGGAATCAATGGGAATTGTGCCATTTGCCTTTGATGGCAGCTGAATCAAAGCTGAAACACCGGCTGTAGTTTATTTTAGATTGCTGCCTGTCTGAGTTTAGATTTCAGATATCTCCACAGGGTTCCTTTTCTTTTAACTATCTAAAATTTATGGCAGTACTATATATTCTAAATATTTTCCTCTACCAGAGGATCAGCTGAGCCTGTAAGGTCTGTGGGTGAGAAAAGCCCTTTCCCTTTTTTTTTCCGAGAGGGAGATCTGCGAGGTGTGAGTCTAAAGGGGGTGGGTATTGCACCACAGGAGGATGTGCCTCGGGATCAGGCCTCCAAAGCTGCATGAATACAAAGGTGAGAGATTTGAGCAAGTTGTACTACTCAGCACTTCTCAGGTAGAGATATGGGGAACAGAAGCCAGCTAAGTAAGCTGGAGATGGAGCAGCCTGCAGGGTGAAAGTCTCAGCAGGTTGTTGGCTGAGAACTGAACTCTAGGGGTGAGGAACCAGTGGGGAAGACGGGGTGGAAGAGCCTGACTTTGCCAAATAAATCCTTAATCTCTTGGAAAGTGCTGCATTGTTGTGAAACAGAGCACAGGGGGAAATATCCTCATGTAGGGAAGAAGGAAAAAATAAGGCCTGAAGTCAAAGAGAGAGGCTTGTAGAATGCAACAGAGAAATGGTATCCATCTTGGATAGAGGTAACATTAACACTTATGTCTGAGTAGTAGTACTCTTCTTGCTGGTAAATGTATGTGATTATCGTTGAGTGATGAATGAAAAATAGTAGTCACTTAGTCTTTGAGAATAAATAAAGTAGTTGCTGAGAAGTCAGCATCTTCTGCAGCCCCTACCTGCTCTTTAATACTAGTTAGTGGGAAGAGACAGGCAGAGGTATCTGCAGGAGGTTCAGACAGTCAGACAGACAGGGAGAAACTAGTGGTGAGCACTTGAGACACCAGGTGAGCTGGAGAATGGATAACTTTGATGTTGGAGGGAGAAGAAGAGTTTTAGAAAACAAAATCCAAGAAGAAATCTTGAATGTTAGGTAAGGGGAAATGTCTGAGGGGTCAGAGCGCAAAAGTAGCAGCATCCTTGTGGAGACATACATGGAAACCATGAACACGTGTTGAGCTTTCTAACAGCCTAGCCAGGAATCACTATAAAAAAAGAGGTGAGGTACCTCTTAGAGAAAAAGTTGTGGTTTTGCAGAACTTCAGAGTTCCTGGAGCGCTCCTGTTGTGGGTCATTTTGTCTGACAGGTTTACTGAGGCAGAATGTCATAGCTGTGTTTTCTCCTTATCCCTTTTTATCCGGTCAGAAGAGAGAAACACTGGACATGAAATAGACACCCAGCTCTGCTCCAGTCCTCTCAATAGCTAGGATCAAGCCATTGATCAAGCCTTCATATTTCAAAGGAATAATGAAAATCCTCACACTCTTCCCTTCATAAACTGTCTCCCACCAATGTGTGTTAATGAAGGTGCCCAGAGCAGGCACTATCTGACAGTATAACAGAGAGCAACTGATAGGCAATTCTCTTTGCTAGAGCAACCAGAACTGAAGAGGTAATATAGCCTTCTATAAGCAAGGACGAATGATGACTGAGATGTTTCTATCTCAATAAATTGTGCAACGCATGCTCTGCTGTACTTGGGTCTGGTTCTGCATTTCTGGAATATTCTGATGTGCAAATAATGTTGACAGGAGTTTTGGGCATGCGGGAAATGTAGCTAAGGCTTGACATGTAAAAGGTGTTAGCAAATTATTATGAAGCACAAAGGCCACCTGGTCTTGTGTCTACAAATGTTCCAATGGCAGTAACTAGATGAGGTTTTGTTGAGTTGCTCTGAGTAGCAAGAATATGTTTTCTTTGCTAAAAAAACCTAGCATTTCTGGAGCTGAATGTTAAGGAGAACATTCTAAACTAAAATAAGAGTAGCCTATCTCCATCAATTGATTTGAATAATATAATACTGAAGTTAAACCAAAACAAAACCCCAAACAAACCAAAGCAAAACACATTGTATCATTTTTTAATTCATTAACATTATTTGAGTGTTACATGCTTTCTGCATCTCTCTGAACCACAAATAAATAAATAGGATCCGTCCCCCAGTTATCTGTACTAGGTTCTCCTTCCTTATTTCAGTGTGATTGCATCGTGCTGAAAATGCTTTGGTAAATGCATGTACTCTTACTGAAACCTCTGGAGAATGAGAACAGTTAGAAGTATCGAGGACCAAACTATTTACATTATCTGTTGTTCAGCTTAATAATTCAGTTTCTCTCTAACAGGTTTTCTCTGCGTGGTTTCATGAAGGATAATTTTTGGAGGAAAGTTGCGCAGGAGGGGAAAGAATTTAAAAGCAAGACAGATCACCACAAAGTGAAATTTATCTATCACTGTGAACCCCAAGCTTGACAGTTGATTATGACATAGGTATCAGCGCAGAGGTAAACTCAAAGAAGTTTATTAATGTAGGTGGCATGATTGGCATGAAATAGAAATAGTACTTAGAATTTTTAAAATACCGTTATTCTGATTAAATTAAACAATTTTAATATAATGGTTCAAATAGATGACATCCTTTTCAAAGGTAGGAAACTGAGGCTTATTAAGGTTTAATGACACACACAGTCACACTGTGAGTTTGAGGGATAAGCAACTGAATTAGAAGACCTGACTTCCATTATAATGTTCTACATTAGATGATAATTCACAACAGAAAGAATGAATGGAAATAAAAAAAGACAGATGGAGAATGAAAGGAAACGTGCGTAAGTGTCTGAAATAAATACATGCAGTGGGCAAGAATGAAACTGGTAATTGAAACCTTTGCTCACTTTTAAAGAGAATTAAATGTATTTGCTTGCTGTGCATTTGGAATAACAGGCTACTGAAAGGGTTGATGGGGCCTGTGAGAGAAAGTGAAAGCATTTACTGAGGATGTTGCTAAAAGCTATATTTTTTGCCTCCATTTTCAGGAAGAAAAAAGAGGACAGATGGCAGAAATTTCCCAGGGGAGAAAAGAGAATTACTAGAGAAGATCAGGATCAGACCTGCACAGGTGATCGTGAAATCAGAATGCCTGAAAACTCAATTTCTCAAGGTCGATATAACCCATGCCTAGCAAATTTCTCTGAATTCTGAGGCAGATGGGACAACACAAGAAAGCTGGGAGATGCTGGAAGACTGGTGGGACTATAATGTCATTGATGACTGGGAGAGAATCAAAGTACATCAGAGTGTTATCAGCTAGGTAGTTTCTATTTTATGTGTGCTTCTGCACCACAGTCATTGCTGGAGTATCAGAACACCTTCCGTAACATCAGCCACACGGTCTTAGCTCTCTTAGCCTCTCCTCTTAGGAGAACAAGTATGTCTTGGAGGGCTTTGCTTCAGTAGCATTCTTTTGTTATTATTAGTGTGTGTATTGTGGAATATTTGCTGCAACAGGATGGGCTGAGAAATGTATCTTGTGTCTGAAGTGGAAGGTTGTAAGTTAGGGAGGCAGCTGCATTTCACAGTATTGGTTGCTCCTGGAATAGGTCTGGTTGAACTGGAAATTGCTGGAGATTTAGGAAAATAAGGACATCGCCATAGCTGTTGACCTTATCTCCAGCTGATTTGCGCCTGCTTTCTCTCTGCTTTAGGGATAAAGACCTTTTTCAGACATGACCATCAGACTCCAGCTGTACAGAGGAATGCAGTTCTGTTCCAGTTCCAGTCTAACAAACAGATTTTGTGAGATGCCTTGTTCCTAATGCCGTGGGAGCTAAATCCCTAAATATCTTTAAAATCTGCGTTGACTTTATTCCAATTTTGTCCATCTAGCAATTGCACAAGTGTACACAGTGTCCCTCTGCTTTTGCATTGTTTAGGTAAACACTGTAGTATGAAAAGAGACAACAGCCATGGGGAGGGTGCTGGAAAAGTTGAAAAGGAATGTAGTGAGACAGCTTAGATACTGTGATTTGATTATTCCTAGTCAGCATATTTCCGTGAGAAATACTATGTCTACCAAAGAAAATCTGTTTGGTTTTGACTTCACTGAGGAAATACAAAGAATTTCAGTGGATTGACATTGTGATTAGAATTTAACTTACAGACATTATGGAAAATCTGGATATTATAAATGTAGCACAGAGTGATCATGCTGAGGAGCAAGTTCCTAGTTTTAGGGAGCCTCTTCCAGACCAGTGTCCAGAGTATTATCAAGAGAACTGATCCTTTCTCTCTCTTCTTAGTGGATGTTACAGAGACTTGCCAAGGGAGGTGCGAACTTTAGGAGATGCTCAAAAAGTGCTTCATTTCTCATGTTGTTGGTAATGAATGTTCCTTTTATGTCAAATCCTTTTGTCTGGTCACAGCTGAACTTATGATGGGCTTGACAATCATTTTGATGGATCCTGGTTAGACTGCCCTGGCAGAATTAATGTCCAAAGTAAGAACAATTTTTGGACAACAAAGAAAAATCCAAAGAATATTTTGAGCTGGAACTAACAAATTACTAGTGCTAACCACTAAACTGTGTTGGAGACACTTAGGCACCCCTGGATTTCATATAGCCTCACTTTTATCTCTCAGCATTTGTATTTTTCTTTAACAAAGAGCATTTTTTCTGACATTAAGAAACCACTTGTAATGTCTGCTGTCCCTTACTCTTAAGTTACTACTAAGCCTAACTTATGAATATTGAGGGTGTAATATACAGCATGTTATCCTCATCTAAAAGGTGTAAGTACTGATGCAAAAAGTCACTTGCCCTGCAGGTATGCCTGATGTTGTCCACAATAAATATCTCTGAGGTAAAGAATAGATGGTCATGCGTGGCTTATGTTGATTGAAGCTATGTTTGTGCCCAGTACAGTGAAGTTACTGTTCAAGTATTCACCTTCCGTGGGGAAGAGGTTACTATTCTAGTAGGACCATCATATCTATGTGTGTCAATTGTCTTGCATGCAGGCACCAGCTGGGGAAGTTCATTCTGCCCCATCATATATATAAGTGGTGCCTCTTACCTTTGTTGCAAATCATCCCCCTATGTTCTGCATGACTGCCAGCTGTCTCTGTGATCACACTGCTGACACTTCTATCTCGATCTATCTGCATTTCAGTAAGGTGCCTCACCAGGCAGTGCTTCTGGATGAAGCTTTGCCCAAAGGCACTCCCATGCTCCAGGTTTAGGTGGGACATTAGGCCCAGCTGTGGGCTGTGTGTGATACGTAAGGTCCACAAGTGTAGGAATAGCCCTTGCAAGTTTTGCCATGCACTTGAGAAGCTCAGCTCCTTCCTGCCTCTGCGTTGCTCACAGTGCTTAGTGGTTTAGTGCTGTCGTTCTCACGGGCCTTCCCCGTCCCCTTCCCAGCAGTGCTGGGGAGGAGAGTTTGTGCTCACACAGCGTCTAAGTCCAGATCAGAGGTGTAGCTCGCTTGAGTAGGATGCAGGTGGTGGGAGTGGGAGTGTGCAGTCGCTCGCAGTCGCGCTGGGTGACGGCTAACCAAGGCGGCTTCCTCCTCCCACGCGCAGGGCCCAGCTGAGGAGCGCTGTGAAGGCAGTGCCGCTTGGATCTCTTCGCTGTTCTCGTTTGCTGCCAAGATGTGCAGCAAGTCTCGGTCGGTGCGGGTGGGATGAGGTCACGTCCTCTGTACCACGTCAGAATGGGAGTGATGAGCACCTCCCGTCACGGTGCATGAGGAGTCGGCTTCCAGAGAGGTTTGGTGGCACTGGCAGCTCTTGGGGTGTTGTCATTCTCTGAGGAGCAAGTTCCCTTTGTTCAGACTTATTTCTTACACCAAATACTGACCAAAGTTACATGTTGGTCTACACCAGCAGCAAATTTGTCCCTGGGGTTTTCATCCTTCAGTTGTTTAACCCATACTCTTATGAATAATCAATGTGAAGTGGGCTGTGAAGAAAATTAATTCTATCTCAGTTCAATGTTAGGTGTTTTATATACTTTAAATCAGGTGTATATAAAATAGTCAACCTCTTTCTCATCCCGTGGCTGGACTTCAGTTTCTCCTCGATTAGATGTGGCATCTGGCTTAATGTGGGCTGAGCCTGATTGAGCAGACCTTGTTCTTGTATTTACTTGTGCAGTAATTGAGATTGATACCCACTGAAATCTCAGCAAGAGCTGAAAGAAATTTAATTCTATTGCAGTCAAAGGTGCTTCTTTGTATGGTGCCCATCCCAGTGGTCCATCACTGGGACTCCTCAGTGCACTGGTAATAAAAATAATAAGTAATAAAGCTACAGTTGATAATAGTTTAGTGAGGGTGTGTTGTTTGAATTGGGCTTTACAAGAACAGATCCTCACCACATCTCTTGCCTACTTTTCAAGGAAATCTTAAGGACCTTTTTTTTTTTTTTTTTTCTCTTAAGTCTATATTCTTTTTATACCTGTGATTCTGTGTACATTGTGTATTATGAACATCAAGTATTCACCTCTTTCTGAACTGCATACTTCTACTATGGATAAAGTACCAGTAGGAATAATAAATAAGAACTAAATTTACATTCTTATTTTTTCTTTCTTTTCTTCTTTTTTTTCTGGGGGGGGGCGGAGGGGTGTGGGGTGGAAGAAGCAATTTACATGTTATGCTTCTGGATCCTAAAGCAAAAGGAAATGTGCCTGACGCTAAAATTGGCTTCATGGCTCCAGTTTTCTCAGCTCTGCACCACCTGCCTCTAATCAAACTGTCCAATTACAGGAAACAATTGTTTTCTTGCTTTCTGTTAAGTGCAGAAATTCATCCACTAAGGGACTTTTTACCAAATGTTGCTTTTAATAAAACCACTTTCACAATTTGTTTGAAAAAAATGTGCTGATGTTTATGTCCAGCGTGCATGTTAGAATTCAAACATATGGTCACCGAGATCCACTCAGGGTCGTTCACAAAATAGTAATATTTATCTTAACCGATTGTAGGGTTTGGAAATCTCTATTGTACTGGGAAAAACTCAGTGGACATTAATAGAGGTTCACTATTGCTGTGGTAAGCTGAGAATCAGGCCCTGACCTATAATTATCATGTACATGAAGAGCACTGATAATACAGAAGGGAAATTGGTCTCCCTAGATATGCTTCCTTAATGTGAGACAATGACTCCAGGCTGTTTCTGAGCTGCAAATCTCCCAGGTGAAGTATTCCAGGAGCAGAATAAAGTAGAATAAAAAGCAGAGTAAGAGAATCCAGCTTTGGTTAAGAATGATTACCTTGCAGAACTAGATCTCATCCCAAATTATAACCTTAACACAGTCAGTTCTACAGAAATATATGAGTGAGATCACATAGAGAAAGTGATTACACAAGTTGTCCTCTCTCATTTTAACAACAATGTTTACGTGTCTTCACTTAACCACTGCTTTTTATCAAAGAAACAGACTGATATGGAAAATATTAACAATATCCTCTATAATTTAGGAGCTTACCAGTTATACTAAAGGT